ACTTCAAATGATTTAAAACACCGTTTAACATTAAAATGTCTAAAATAACCCTTTTTCATGTCTAAAATAACCCTATACATATATAGACATGCAAACATTCATGAACACAAATATATAATATAATATGTGGGGGTCACCTCATACGCATACCCATACCCTTAACCCTACCCTCACCCCTCACCCCACCCCAACCTTACCTCGACCCGACCACTACCCCACCCCTCCTACCCCCCACCCACCCATACCCCGAACTTACCCCCTTATCCCCTGCCCCTACCTCGGCCCCACCCCCGAGACCACTCCCATCCAACATGGGTATGCAGGGGGTATGTGTAGAGGTTAAGGTCAAGGTAGTGGTGGGGGTTATGGTGGGGTTGTGGCGGTGGGGGTACGGGTATAGAGGGAGGGGTTGGGGTATGGGGGTGGGGGTGTAGGGGGTTGGGTCGAGGTGGGGTGAGGGTGGTGGGTAGGGTAGGGGTAAAGGGGGTGGGGTCGAGGTTGAGGTAGATGGTAGGGGTAAAGGGGGGGGGGGGTAGGGTATGATAAGTGGTAACAGGGTGGGGGTGGGATAAGTTGGGTAGGGTAGTGGCCGGGTCGATGTAGCGGCAAATGGTAAGGGAGTACACGGGTAGGGTCCGGGGGCGGGCAAGGGTGTGGGTAGGGGCAGATGGCAGGGGCTAAAGGGGTAGGGTCGGGGGTGGTAGGGTGGGGTAGAGGTAGGGACATGTGGTAGGGGTAAAGGGGTAGGGTCGTGGTATGGTAGGGTTTGGGGTAGGTAGGATGGGGTCAGGGTTGGGGTCGAGGTAGGGGTAAAAGGGAAGGGGTCGAGGTAGGGTACGTGGTGGGGGTGGGGGTGGAGTAAGGGGTTATTGTCGGGAGGGTAATGGGGTAAGGTAGGGTAGGGGCGGGACGGGGTGGGTAGAGGGTAACGATACGGTAAGGGCAAGGGGTAAGGGTGAGGGTAAATTCGGAAACTGAAAAAGGTTAAAGTGCCGCTTAATTAATACATGGGGTGGTGGTATGCTTAGTAAGCGGCACTTTAAGCACCTCTTTCGGTTAGTAAATGCCTCCTAAGTTTAATCTCACCTGCTTTGTTCAACTAAGAGTTTCTATATATTTAGTATCATATGCATTGTTTAATTTATCATTTGTTTAGTTTAACCTACATTGTCAACTTTGAAATGAAAGCTAATAATGACAAATTGCAGAAATTATACAATGAGGTGTTGGAATTGAAGACATTTCTGTAAAAGGTAAAGCTGTTATCCTCAACAAGCATGTATTAGCTTTAGACCTGCACAAAAGCGGGTTCGGGCCGGGCTCGGACCAGGCTTTTCATAAGTTTTCTGCCCATCGTGTGTGGGCGGGCCCGGCCCGGCCCGCAAAAACGGGCCTAACCCCATGTCCATACCCGCCCATAAGAGCGGACCGGGTAGTCCACCGGGCCGCGGGGCCCGGGAAGACTTTAAATTTTTCAAAATTATATAATTTATTTAATACTTTATAAATAATATTACAACATTTAAAAAATTGCTAATACGCTTATAATGTATATAGGCCTTTCGTCACATACACAAAAAATATTCACACAAAAATAATAATGAGAAACTATATCTAAAATTTAAAATTCATGCATGCACAAAGTATTATCGTTAAGTACAAAAATAGATATTATATTGGTTGGACTATTTGTTAAGAACTAAAAACTTAAATTTAAACATAATAAACTATAAATATGTATACAGATAAATTAGTAAATATAAAAATATACATGTGTACATGTAAATAAATACATAAACTAGTATGTATAAAAATATATATGTATATATACTAAATGTAGCGGGCTGGGCTTATCGGCCCGAACGGGCCTACACCCGGCCTAACCCAAGCCCGCCCATATGTTGTTGCGGGCCGGGCACGGGCCAGTGGGTAAATATATATGCCCAAGCCCACTAATTTGTGCGGGCGGGCTGGGCCGGCCGGGGCGGCCTGGCCCGGTTTTGTACAGGTCTAATTAGCTTCGAGATGGGTGTTTTATGGTGAAATTAGCTGAATTCTTTCAAGGAGATGCAGGTTTGAATTTATATTAAGTATAGTAATATGTACTACCAAATGTGAATTCACGAGATGTAGAATTCACGTTTACCAAATTAGAATGTGGTGCATATAATGATTTTTTGCTTTCCCGAGTGAATGGTTAGACTCATAAACTTAATTGGGCTACACAAAAGTAAGGGAAAACGTATATTGGCTTGAAACAACATATTATGAGTCTCTAATGAACTCCTCATTGTTGGCGATGTGTATAAAAGTTAGAGGAAAGAGAGCAGATGAGGGAACAAGTAGGAATCAAAGTGGTGTCGTTGAATTCAGAACTTTATTTAAATTTATGGAGAGATTAATAAGACATAAATAAGTAATTTAGCACATTACATTTATCTAAACAATTAGCCATACTATTGAGGAGTGCCTATATTATACAACCGGCTGTACGGTGAGCACCGTACAGCCGGCCCAGTAACAGATCCAAAGGAAAAATAACAAAATAATTCGCTGTCATTTTTGTAATTAATGTCAAAATTGCGGTTTCTACTAAATGAGCATTAGTGTACTGTTAATGAACCATTGTCCAATTTTAATGAGTATTGAGCGTCCAATAATGAGCACCGTGTTATTACAAGAAAGTTGATATCACAACTAAAAAACGGTGTCATTTTCGTAATTTCAGTGAAAATCGCGGTTTTTCTTAGATGAGCATCAATACACTTTTAATGGGTATCAGATTAATTCTACCGAGCATTAAGAGTCGAATAATGAGTATTGTGATATCAACTTCATATATTGTAATTCACTTTCTTTTTCTTATTTTTTCTTTTACAAAAACTCATTAAATTATATTTATAATAAATTCTTATGAACTTTGATATGCAAATCTAGTGTAATATGGTACGTTTGAAATATTCATTGATATGACAATTTAAAAATGAGCATAACATGAGTACCAATTGAGCATACGTAGCTTCCAAAATGAGCATTGACGTGAAAATCATAAGCTTTTTAGTTGAGCAAGAAGACATTTTCGTTGAGTATTACAAACATGCAATTGAGTATCATGGTTTGTGCTCCCGTATCTATAATCAACTTCTGCGTTAATCTAATGTAATATCAAACTTTTGAAATATGTATTACTATAACATTTAAAATGGGTATAACACTTGTTGGGTAAATGGCCCCAAGCAGGGGTTCGGCCCAATTACCCCCAAACCGACGTACGTCGCCCAGCCCACGGGTGGCCCTGGCCTGAAGGAATGAGGACGAATGTCTATCTCCGGGATAACAGCACAAGGTCCCAGCCGAGGGTCGGTTAGCACATCCATGACGAACGTCGTCAGCCGAGGCCCATCTCCGTAGATGGCCCAGGCCCAGAAGATTGTTACGTCCTACAAAGGGCCGCAGACGAACGGCCCCCGGTTCTACCAGACGATCGTGGTCAGGAATTAGGCGGGGAACCCAGATTCTGGCGGGAAGCGCATTTAATGCTGGAGATTTGGTGGTTGGACCACAGCCACTAACAATCCTCCACATCATCAGGACTAACTGCCCATTGGCGGGTATAAATAGTAGCATTTATTTCATTGTAAAGGGTTGACAACTTTCTATTCTTAGCACCTAGCAATTGTATTCTTACTCGCAGCATTTCTACTGCCTTGTAAGACGAACGGCCGACGTGCCCTTTTTAGCAAGTAGATTGTACTTAGGGGAGTTATTACGAAGTTAATAATACCTATTTACATTGCCTGCTATTTCCTTTGTTTCCTGATCCATCTGATAGTTGTTGGGCTAGATATTCATACATTCACTCCACTCGAAATCTTTGGGCTTACGTGTTGGGTCCAAGGGTTGAAGGAACAAACCTCAACAACACTAGTACGAAATGAGCATACATAACTTACTGAATGAGCATCATAAACTTTGTTAGTTGAGCATTAATACATTTTCATTTAACATCAAACCTTCTCTATTGAGTACCAGAAGAATGCAATTGAGTATCATGATCTTTGTTCTCATGTATATAATCTAACACTTATGCGAATCTAATATTATACTTTTAAAATATGCATTAATATGAAATTTTAAAATAAGTATAAAACCAGTATCAAATGAACATACACAACTTACAAAATGAGCATAAAAAATTTCTAAAATTCATTTGAATTCTCTAATGTGTTCAAATGTTCATTTATGCACGTATAATGACACATATAGTAATGAAAAAAATAGTAATTTTATATTGAAAATAATTTATAACCTTTAGTTCTCTAATTAAAAGTATAATCAAATTCATTTTATAATGTTTACTCATGCATATCTATTTTACAATATATCCATTTTAGTGTAACACAAAACACATGTTAGTAATTAACACACAATATTTAATAAACTAATAAATGTTGATCTTAAATTTGAAAGAAAAATAAAAACTTAATACATAATATTTTATAATACAAGAATAAAAGAAACATAAGTTAGAAGTTTGATTGGATTAATAAAATAAACTTGGATCGATATTTAATAATATTTTTGTATATTATAAATTTTCATAATGATTGAATATAAAGTTAATGTAAAAGATTGCTAAAGAAAAAAAAACATAAAGAAAGGAGCTGAGAACAAAGAATAAAGAAAACAATGGAGAACAAACAATAAAACAAAACAAAAAAAAACAAAAACAAAAAAAGAAAGTGGAATGAAAAAAATGATGCGTGCAACCTTTAAACGCAGGACGGTGGAAAGTGGAAACCATTCAATGCAGGAGTGATGTGCAACGAAAAAAAATCAAACGGTCAACGCAAGACCGAAAGAGTCCAGCGGCGAAATAAAGTGGAACACTAACTTAACTATTACCCTCAAAGATGGAACAAATTACAAAAATACCGGTACCATGCTCACATGGTATAGCCGGCTCATGGTACCATATATTTTGGAAAGAATGGCACAAATGTTACTCCTCAAGTTTCATTGGACAAAAATATGACCCTTTTGAGAATAGACTGAAAAGTGATTGAATTGTCTTCCTTCTTCCATCACTAGCCTTTCACTTCAATATCCGTCTGGCATCACCGCCCAAGCTCCACATCAATATCTTCCGTCTTCCACTCTCATCGTTGAACCAGCATCGCCAGACGCCACTGCTCCGCCCGCGATTGCTACCCTCCATCTCTGCGTGTGTCCTTTCTTCTTCACAGCTCCTCTCTACTATTGTTGTTGGCCAGCTTCACCACTCTCGTCCTCTTCATCGCGTATAATTGACCGCAACAACAATGATGGCGTTGATAATTGATGCTAGGGTTTTGAACTGAAACACAGGCCAAATTTCTGCATCTACGGTGATATCTCGGTTGATGTGTACATCCGACGGCAATGATTGGGAGTCGATGGATGACGACGCAGATTGCAATGGAAAGCCGAGGCTTTGCAGATTTAGCAGGTGACGGTTGCTATATTTTGCCACTATTGAGTATTGACTTGATAATCTGCTACTCCTATATTAGGTAATTATCAAATAACAATTGATACGTAGTAGTAGAAAAAAAGAACTCTTTTGCCTATAAACACCCACACACACATAGGGTTTGTTTGGTTTTCGGCGTATTGGGGCAAAACCGCTGCATTTTGCAGCGTTTCCCTTTGAAAAAAAAACAGCGGTTTGGGGTGACCCGCTGTAAAACAAACACCCCCATAATCTGAGAATTACGCCGTCACATGCGACGCACGGGTAAGAATCCTAGTAGGGGTAAGAATACTAGTACTAGTAGAATAGAAGAGAACAAGAACTTCAATTTGGAGACGGTGTGATCGACATCTGTGTCGCCGTTTATCATTCTTATTTTTTCGAGCTTTCGTTCATATATTTGGGTTGAAGCGCATGGATATCTATACATACAGGTGAACACTGAAGTGAACACGCGTTGCATTGTTTAGTAGGCCTCATGAAATCCCTACTGCCAAGTGTAGCTCACAAGATAGGGAGTGCAATCAAGAGTATAGCAGAGAACAAAAGCTCGAGCTGGTGGTACACCCCTCACGCCGCCGCCGCGGCCCATGCCATTGCAGAGAGGTTACCGCTAGTCGATTTCGTTCTTGAAGTCCGGGATGCTAGGGTATGTATTATAGGCTACGAGCTTCCCTTTGTTTTCCGGGATTACTGTCAAGTGCTCGATGAAATGTTTGAATGAACTGACATGGTTAGATGCTGACAGTTTCGGTTATAAAGTTCATTTATACCAACCAATTCATGCATTCAATTCAGGTTATATAAGGACAAGTTCTTTACAATTCTCTGATATTTTAGATTATTTTCTCCTATTGCTCAGATCCCTTTGTCATCAGAATTCAAACTACTGAAAAAGCATTCAACGTCCACCAGGCGAATTATAGTTTTGAACAAAACAGATCTTGCAAGTCCCTCCCAGGTGAAGGTAATTTTAATAATTATATATTACACGGGTGTTCTAGAGCCAATTTGGTAACTCATATTCTCATTTTATCAGCTTCATTGCTCAACATTTTGATTACATAACTAACTTTTGATTTCGCATGTTGAATTGAGGAAAAAATAAAATAGGTTTTTTGACTGAAGTTACTGTGATGATCATTTTAGCCATTTTTCATATAATCTTTTCCTTCATTTTAGTAATAAAATATTTTTTAAATATGTTATTTCCATAATTCAGTAGATTGCCTGTCAATTAAGCTATTTCAGCTAGACTTTCATCAGTTTAAGCAGATCCAGCTGACCTCACTGTTACCAAACGGGCTCTTAATGATTATGTGCTACAACTATAGTTTCAGAATATATCATTTGATTAAACCATACATGCATGTTTTAATTGTATCCTAAAGGCAATGTTCTAAAAGGCGTAAGGCGTGTCGAGGCGGCACGATCAAGCCTTGAGCCTTTGAAGCCTAGGCGAGGCATAGGCGTGAAAAGGCGTTTTGATGGAATAAAACAAAATGACTCACTAAACTGTCTGCGCTTCTTTGTTATGAAGTAGCAGTCGGTCTATATAATTTTGACGTGATTTTCACTATGGGTCATTCAGAAACAACCTTGCATAATATTTTGTAATGCTAAATTTACATTCTAATTAATGCCTTATTTTGTACTTTAGTACGGGGGTAAGGCTGCGTACATCCGACCCCCCTTACCTCACCATAGGTAAGGTGATGATGATGATGATGATGAATTTTAATTTCCCTACCGGCATTAATAAGAATGTAAATTTAGCATTACAAAATATTATGCAAGAAAACCATTACTTTCTGAATTTCCAGTAAGAGTACATTTTTAATGTTCTAAACACCATTTCTAATTGGATGTTTTTAATTGGTTTTAAAATTTATGGGCTTACTTAGTTTTATCTGAACTTGTTTGATCCGGTGCATTCTTGCATATGTTTGTTTTATATGTATTTTATCATTTTCAAAGTCTGGTATAGCTTGATCTATTTAAATCTGGTATGGTCTAGTTGGTCTAATTTGATTTATGACAAAAATCAATCCAATTAAAACATCTTTATTTTTCAAAAACTAGATTTGGAAAAGTAGTCCGGTGATCACAATGATAATAATACCAATATACTATAATAATATGAAGTCAAAATAATAATAATAATAATTACAATAATTTTAATATGAAGTACGGAGTAATATTTAGTAGCATATTTTTTTTGGTTAATTTTATGTAACACTCAATGTCCTTAATGGTAGCTGGTACTTTATGTGAATGGTGGTTTATGTTGTAAGTTGTAAGCTTAATTTCAATGTCTTAATTTCACTACTAGGTTGAGAATCTTCTTAATTTTACTAGTTTAATTTTAGTAGTTACATTGTAGTTTTAAGAACCCGTCCTTCCACATTGTCTATGTAAGGCTCCTCTTTATTGTTACGGAGTATATTCATGGCTTACTGTTCAGGCTTCAGCTTGTGTGGACGTAATCAAACCGGCCTATCTCTCCTGCATGGTCAATAAGAATTGTGCCGCCTTTTAGCGTGCCTAGTAGGTATGCGAGGCGTTTTCAATACGCCTTGCGCCTAGGCCCACCTTGGTGGCGCCTTTAGGCGCCTTTTAGAACATTGCATAAAGTATCTTTTGCATCAAACTGTTAATTATTTATTTATCTATTTATTATTTATTGATTTATTTACTTATTTATTTATTTATTTATTTATTTATTTATTTATTTATTTATTTATTTATTTATTTATTTATTTATTTATTTATTTATTTATTTATTTATTTATTTATTTATTTATTTAGTTATTAAGTTATTTATTTATTTTCTGTTTCAGAAATTTCATTTCTTTTTATTTTGAGCTGATGTACACTTTTCTGCTGACTGCTCTCATCGCTTTTATGCAGCAATGGATGGATTATTTTGAAGGACAGGATGATATAGCATTTCGAGTCAATTCTCATAATAGAGATAATATAAAGGAGGTGCATAGTGATAAGTGACCACTGACCAAAGAAGCCATTTCCTGACACTATAAACTAATGGGCACTAATGTTACTGTATTGCCTACATTTTGACAGTTCTTGACATTTCTGCAAGCTAGAGTAAGAGAACTAATAAATACCGGTTATTCTCGACATACTACAACACTAATGCTTGTGGGTATTCCTAATGTTGGGAAATCTGCACTTGCGAACTCATTGCATCTGATTGGGCGAATTAATGCCGCAGGTACTCCTCCTTTTTGAGATGTCTTGCTAAAAAATAACCCCTTCTGACTTTCTAACACATATATTACTTTGATTGGAAGAGAAGGGAAGACTAAAACATGCTGCGGTAACTCCTCAGCCTGGAGAGACTAAAAACATTAGCAGTTTTAAGGTGCATGATCTTTCACATTCTTTTGTCTAAATGGTTTATTTATTTATTTATAAGATTCATTCATCAATTTCATATTCCTAAATATCTATTGAACTGATTGGAAGTGGATGGAGTTTCATATTTTCTACTCATTTAGCTTCCAATTATGTGAAGTTGCTAAAAATCCTTGGGTCCAACTTCTTTTAATTAGTTACCTACTTAATTTTAACTAGTCATTTCTTTCTTCGATCACTCCTTGACAAGCAAGTTCATGTTGATGTCTTAAATGAGATTGCTAGCCATCCTAATATTTATGTGCTGGACACACCTGGTATTTTGCCACCTAATATCCCGGATGCTGAGCTCTGCTGCAAACTAGCTCTTACAGGTGCCCATTTTTTTTATTTTCTGAAAATGTTTGTTTCTTTACTTCTACTACTATGATAACATAAATATTACTCCCTCCGTCTCCGAAAGAAGTTCCCACTTTCCTTATTTGGATGTCCCTAATTTAAGTTCCCATTTCCTTAAAAGGAAAGTTATCTACATCAAAACAGTGTCAAACAGTGCAAAACAGTGTCAAACAGTGTCGAAACAGTGTCAAAACAGTAAACTTTACCCCTGGTAAGTTTACTTGCATAAAAGTGTGTGAAAGTCAAATGAGGAACTTCTTTCGGGGACGGAGGGAGTATGCTGTTTCCATAACGTGAAAGAGAAGGGAAAAGCATAAGTTAAAAAATATGTGTGTACTTAGCAGGGGGGCATCCTAGTGAAATTGATGAAAGGCAGTGATATTCTTTCCATTGCTGTAACTAGTCTCTCCATGGTAGTGACCAGTTTTCAAGCAATTTCTCAGATTGGGGTTTCTCTTTCAGGTGCAATCCAAGACTGTTTAGATGGTGAAGTAGAGCTTGCTCAGTATTTTTTAGCAATCCTTACCACGAGTGATGAATTCAAGAAATGGGCAAAATTGGGTGGCATTGAGAAAGACATGTTAGTTGTAACTGCTACTGATGACGAACTTGACTTGGAGAAAACACAGAAAATGAAGCATCGTGTGACAGATCACACGCAGGTATGGTATCGTTTTAGCTACTAATCCTTAGAAGGTGTTTGGTCAGGTTTTCCCGGATAACCTTAATTATTGGAAGGTAATTTAATCTAAAAAGAGAAGAATGTGAATGTAAGATTGCCCAATGTTTTCTGTTGAAGGTTATGCCTTCGAGTGTGTTAGTTGAATTCTAATAATATACTTATACAATTATGAATATTAAGAATATATAACACAGATACAGACGCACACAATTTATTTATTTATTTAACTACTGAAATGTTTGTACATTTATTTATATTTATTTTATACTCATATAATTAAATTATAAGTTTTTAAACTACGACAGAATTAATATTGGTAGGAAATCTGGAAATTGATTGAATATAACAGAAATTTCTGACACTAGAAGGGTCAAGAGCAGCTCGGTGCACATTGGTGTCTCTGCAAGGGGTAAGGGTCCGATGAAGGGTCTCACCACTAGAATCGAGTACTTGTGAATGGGCAGAGCTAGGTGAGGAACAAGCCTTCTCTTGTCACTTCGTCAAGAGGCCGCTCTCATGACTTGAACCCGTGGCTTCTAAGTCACACAGCAACACCGTAACCTAGGAAAGTGATGTTATCACGTAAGTACATTACTGTGAAAATAACCTGAAACGGGGGAATGTGAGATTACGGTGTTTATAACCTAACTTGAACCCAACTAGGATTGATGACATCATCATATAACTAGGTTATACTCCGTATGATATAAGGGGTACTATAACAGTCAAAGTGGAATATTTATTTTGTGACGAATGGAGTACTATATTTGGGTTGTTTTGTCCAATCCCCCGTTCTCCTAATAATTTATCTTGCACTTGTTTTGTAAAGGGGAAAGATGCAAATATATTTTTGACCTTTAGCTCCATGTGTATGTATGTCCCTAATCTTTTGAAGGGACAAAAATGTCCCTAAAGTTCATGTTTGGGAGAAAATCTACCCTTATTAATTTTAAATAGGGAAAATGGAAACTAATAATCCAACCTTTTAGCGGTCTTCTTACAATAATCCAACCTTTTGGTTATTCATGAATAATCCAACCTTTGCACCTCATCTTCATTCACTGGTCCCTGACCGGTTGATGACCTGTTATTCCAAGCTATTTTCTTATCTTTGCAAATCATTATACCATAAATCTCATCTTTCACAACGATAATATTTTGCAAAGATAAGAAAATAACTTGAAATAGCAGGTCATCAACCGGTCAGGGACCAATGAATGAAGATGAGGTGCAAAGGTTGGATTATTCATGAATAACCAAAAGGTGGGATTATTGAAAGAAGACCGCTAAAAGGTTGGATTATTAGTTTCCATTTTCCCTTTTAAATAAATAAAAATATATATTTAAAAATTTCAAGAAAAATAATAAATATATTGAGTTTGGAGATTGTAAAATGAAAAAAATAAAAAATCCATTGTGTGTTCAATGCTTCCTTTTCATATTTTTATATCAGTTTAATATTGTTAACATAAAAGAAATATTTTAAAATTTTAACAAACAATTATGCCTTTTGAATTGATTTAAAAAAAATGTGTTGAAAATTTTATAATTTAAAAAACATTTTGTGCTAATTGCTTTCTTTAATCTTAATAATATTAATTTTTTATATAAATGTTAATAAGGAAGCATTGAACACAATTTTTTTTTTTAATTTTTTTTATTTTTGAAACCCAATATATTCATTAATTTATTTTTTGTTTTGTTTTTTTAATTTTTGTAATTCATTTAAAGTCAATAAGGGTACATTACTCCCAAATATAAACTTTAAGGATATTGTTGTACATTTTTAAACCTTTGGGGCATACATGCACTTGAAGGTAAGCACGAAGGGTATATTTGTACCCTTTTTAACTGACAAATGGAATATGACTTTAAAAAGACGTGGAATTTAGACGTATTTTCAACTCATTTTGCCTTCAAATGAATTCCAATGAGTGGCTTATGAAATTCTTCATCAAGCTTTAGGATGGCAATGGGGGTGGGGCCCGTGGGGAACCGTGGAGGGTGGGGTTTGGGACGGGGATGGGTGAAATATTTATACCCCGCTAAAAATTGGGTCGGGCGTCGGGGGATGAGGATTGCTACACCATATATGGGGCGGGGATGGGGATTGCCCCGTCCACGCCCCGTCCCCGTTATATATATATATATACAAACATACATACATATATAAATATAATGTATAATCTTATTTAAGTAAATTATGGAGTATGTAGTATATAACAAACACATACTATAACAAACACATACATATACATATAGACATATATAAATGTATATATGTGAGTAAGTGTGTATTAGTCATGGTTAATGAATCAATACATGTTATATCATAATAATAATAACTAAAAAATACTTGACACAAATGTTATATGAGTTTTAAAAATGAGAAAATGAGTAAATAGAACACATATGCATATTTAAGCATAATATACTCCGTATATAATTAATTGTATTATAATTGATAAGAATTTTGTTTACTTATATTTTTAATTAAAAAAACTTATACGGAGTATTTTTAATTTTTTTTATTCAAATTAAAGAATTATTAAAAATTGGTGGAATTAACTTTTATCAAAGACAATATTATCTAGCTTACCTCTTTTAGTACTATATATATATATATATAGAGAGAGAGAGAGAGAGAGAGAGAGAGGAATGTTCAGGTCCGAACATTCCCCGTCCGAGCACCGTCCGAACATGGACGTTTGGGCCACTTCCTGGTGGAATTTTTTGATGAAATTTTTTGAGCATGTTCCTCATCAAGTCTAGTTTCTCCATATCAAATTTCACTCAAACTTCTATCGGGAAGGCATTCAAATCATTTTTTGAAGTTGACTGCGTCAAAATGTACATATAAAAACGCAGTCAACTTCAAAAAATGATTTGAATGTCTTCCCGATCGAATTTTGAGCTGAAATTTGGTATGAACAAACTAGACTTGATGAGGAACATGCTAAAAAAATTTCATCAAAAAATTCAACCGGGAAAGACCCCAAACGAGGATGTTCGGACGGACGTTCGGACAGGATCATTCTTGTATATATATATATATATGTATATATATATATATATATATATTTACTTATAAAATGGGTTAAAAAATATGCATATAAGATAAATAAAATCTATATGCGGGCACCCATGGGGGACAACGAGATGGGGCGGGTCTGGGACTAGCGGGGGATAGGGTGGGGGATGGGGGAAACATTTTAGACATGGGGCGGGGGTGTGGGAGCGAACCCCGCCCCAAACCCGCCCCGTTGCCATCCCAATTTCTAAATCACCCTCTCTTCCTTGCCTTACCCCAACAACTTGAAATGATATGTGACGACCATTTCTGCAGGATTTTATTGTGAACAATGTTAGGAAAACGCTTTATCATTGCATTTCGTCATTCAGTGGAAACCTAGATGAAGAAAACAGCTTATTACATCTCATCGAAGTTGAGTATGCAAATCTGGCGGAAGCTTTCCATTTGTCCTCAGAAGCAGTAGATGATTTACCCATGGTTGCTTCTAAATTACTCAACTTATATCGGACAGGAAGGCTTGGTCATTATTCCGTAGACTCTGTTCCAAGCAAACACTGGTAGCGGCATTGAACAACTGAACATGGAGGTGCGACAGTTGGCTGTATCTGTGCGCCAGTGGTTGATTTACAAATTACAATTGCTATGTTTATCTTGTTTCTAGAAATATGTAAGTAAAACTAATTTTTTATGTATTTTGCATGTAATAAGTGTAACTAATCCTTGCAAAAAAAGTGTAACTAATAGTGGCAAGACCATGGCTAAATGAAAGTATGAAATTGTTACATACATAAAAATAGCAATTATGTGTCATGGCCCAAACATTGTTACTACATAGAGTACTATTGTATGACAACTTTTCATGTCCAGCCGGTCTGACGGGAACCGCCGTCCGGCCGAGGGCATTTCGGACACTTCCCGGTGGAATTTTTGATGAATTTTTTTGAGCATGTTCTTCATGAAGTCTAGTTTATCCATACCAAATTTCAGCTAAAAATTCAATCGGGAAGGCACTCAAATAATTTGTTGAAGTTAACTGGGCAGTTCATACATATAAACTGCGTAGTTAACTTCAACAAATTATTTGACTGCCTTTCCGATTGAATTTTTAGCTGAAATGTGGTATGGATAAACTAGACTTCATGAAGAACATGCTCAAAAAATTTCATCAAAAAATTCCACCGGGAAGTGCCCGAAATGCCCTCGGCCGGACGGCAGTTCCCGTCAGGCCGACTGGACAGGAAGACTACTCACTTTGTATTATGTAATGAAACATTAGTACGGAGTATAGTTTTAGTGGGGCACTGTGTACTTGGAAGCTTACAGCCTATACGATAAGCAAGTGAATGGGCCGGGTGTATCAAACCATTTTTTCGCCTATAAAGTAGGGATGGACTCGGGCCAACCGGCCCGGAACCGGACCGGCCCGCTACTGTGCGGGCCCGGACCGGCCCGGTGAACCAGTTAGTGCCCGGTTCGGGCCACCCGGCCCGGTGGGCTTCGGTTCCGGGCTTGGGCCCTCCATTTGGTGAACCGGTTCGGGCCCGGTCTGGGCCGAATTCAATTTTTTTTTTCTGAATTTTTTTTCGAGTTTTTGGGTTGGGCTGGGTATTTTGGGCCATTTGAGGTGGTTTGGGAGTGAGGGGGGTGGGTTGGGGGTTAAATAGGAGAAGCCAAAAAAAAATTACAAACCGGACAGCCCGGCCCGGAACCGGACCCGGAACCGGTGGCTACCGGTTCGGGCTCGGGCCCAACAAAACAGAACCGCGAACCGGCCGGGCCCGAACTGGAATCGGTCCACCCCTACTATAAAGTATAAACTCTCTAAAAAGGGGGTGGGGCGGGTAATTTGTTTGTACCTTATTGTGATAGGTCTCTTGATATATGCCTTATTGTAGCTTTGTAACTAGTGGAAAGCACCTTGTTGTCCCACTTCCGGGCCGAGACTGGCCGGGACCGATACTATAACTAACATTAAAAAAAATAGTAACACTGGGTATAGGTAGGGGTGGCCCGGGACCGGACCGCCACTGTGCGGGACCGGACCGGTTGACTGGGACCAGGCATGGGCCTATGACCCGGACCGAGGGGAGTTTGGGGGCGGGCTCTGGCAGCAGCCCACTTGGTACTGGCCCGGGACCGGTCCGGACCCAATTTATTATTATTTTTGGGTTTTTGGAATGGCTTGGGTAAGAGCCGGGTTGAGTGTGGTGGTTTGGGGGTGTTTGGGATGGGGGCGGGGGTAAGAATAAATAAGAAAAACAAAAAAAATACCGGCCTGGTCCCGTAACATAGTCGGTTCGGTTCCGAGCCTCCATTTCTCAGACCCGGGCCCACCCTAAGCCCGATCCGGGACCAGTCCATCACTAGGTATAGGCTTGAACGTGAGTTCAAGCAAACCTAATCTATTGGACGAGACTCTTGCAAAATGGATAATAACTACTCGATCAAGTTTGAAGGTTTCGATAAGAGGTAAGTACATTATTACTAGGTATGGGCTTGAATGTGAGTTTGCAGGTTGTCCTACACTCCCACCACATCAAAAGAGTTTGACCCAAAGGGTCGAAGGGGGTTGAGCACAGATTGTTGCTAGCTGCCTTCACTCAATGTAGGGTAGCTAGCTGATGGATAGTGTACCCGAGGGGTAGCTTATTCGAGGAGTTATTGTGAGAATAACCTAGAGAGAAGTCAGAGCAAACAAGTAGGAGAGAGAGGCGATTGTATTAATGAACTCGAGATGTTCTAGTCCTTTACAATGGGAAAAAGGGGCTGCTATTTATAGCAGCAATAAATGCGATGAGAGTACACGTGTCAGCAATCTAACGGTCGAGGGGTCACCTCAATCGGGTGGCACTGGCATTCGCATGTGCACTGCATTGAATGCAGTGGGTGGATGTGACGTCGTATTAAATGCGGTGGTTGCTTGTCTCCAAAGGGAATCTTCGATGATTGAGTTGGTGACCGAGGGCTCCCCCTGCGGCCAAGGGCCCTGTGTAGTCGAGGGCGCCGTACAGCCGAAGGCTTCCCAGACGCCGAAGGCACCAAAGTGCCGAAGGCTCTTGTTTTCTGCCATTTTCTCCCAGTAACTTTGCATGCTTAAATCTGGCTGCCTTGTGTAATTTGGAGCCCTCGACCAAGGAAGCCGAAGGCACCTCTATGTGTATTGTGGGCTTCTTGACACTTGGGCCGCTGTATTTGGGCCCTCGATGTGTATTGGGCTCATTGGGCCTGTGTAGGAGAAGTAGGAATCTGTGGGCCGGGGGTCCCTGGGCCATATACTCCATCACTATCTAGCAATTCTTGTGTGATGACTGTGGCTAATTTATAGCCCTCAAATCAGAGAAGAAGAAAAAAGCAAATCTGCATAGATCACATGTTTTTAAAAAGGCGTGCCTCTTATTCTCCGGTTGCGCATTGATTTGAAATGGTTCCAAACATAGCATGAGACTCCTTTTTTCAATGCCCTTGGAACACCACAAGCATGTTGAGCGTCAAGAATAAAATAAAAGTTCCTTTCACCCTATTAGGGTGATACAAAAGTGAGATAGATTGTCTCATGTCAAGGTATATAGTATTGAATGATTGGTAGACTAAAAATGGGATGTTTTCCCAAATATAATTCACATAATAAAATTTATAAACCTAATTTTTATATGTTTCTGGGCTTATTGAGATCTTTTGTTGAGTAATTTTATATCCACAACCCCCAAATTCTATAATTTCTCTCTTACCCTTGCTTTATTTGGTACTGTATCTTCTACGTTAAATATTAAATTTGGGGAAATACCCGAAGAGACTCATATAATAGCAAAAGTAGTTATCAAGCTGCCTTACCTAATTATCACCCAATCAACCATCCTAACTTTTAAAAAAATACACAAATCAACTTAATGGATTGTAAATAATTGATTCCTGAGTAATTTTGCTTGTTTGGCGATTGACATGTATGTATTCTCTATTTTATTCTGGTCAAAGTGTATTTTTCAATTTATTTTTATTACTCTCTCGTCTCGCTCTTTGGACACAGATAACTTTAGATTCGATGTCTCTCTCATTATATTCTTTACACTAAAAAATGAAAGCTGCATATACCATCGTTTATTCCCTATAGGGAAGAATGCCGACTTCCTTGTCATCATCAATGACACTAGAAAAGGATATACTTGCTAGTTGCCACTCAACTCTAGCTGATAGACATTTTTATTAAAAGTTTATTTCCACTTGAATTTATTTTTCGTTGAGAATATTCATGGTTCATTTTGGTTATTCAAACTCATCTGAAACTGATCCGAACTGGCGCTTGCATCAGAAATACGGATCCAACCTCGTGTCAAACACATTCTACGGTTTGATCGGGTTGCATTCAGACGATGGAGATGAAGTGAACTCTGGACCAGCACAGGGAGAAGGATGAGAGAGCGACGACAGTGGTGGGGAAGATAACACCATAAAACAGAGTCCTTAATGACAGTAATTTCTGAACCCTTACTCCTTATGTCTTTAATGTTGTATGGACTTATGATGATTGAGGGGGTGCTGTCTTAGCCTTGCATGACGATCGAACGATTTGGCTTGTTGTTTGATTAATGATGATTTAAGGGTTTTGATTCACTTATGATGGGTGTTTGTGTTTAGGAATAAACCCCTTTTGGCTTTATGAATGTACGTTGTGCTTGCTTAAGTTGGATATGCGTAATGTTAGCCTAGGATATGTAACCTTTGATCATGATTATCCATGTTTTCCTATGTTAAAATACATGTGATGAAAATGTGATCACTCTATTGATTTTGAGGTGTGTTAGCCTAGGATATGTAACATGTGCTCATGATAGTCTGTGTTTGCCCATGTTAAGTCGCATGTGATGAATCTGTAATGATTCTGAGGTGTGGTCTCCTAACATATGTATCAAGTCAGCGGCGGACGCAGGAATTACGGTTAGGAGGGGCGGTAGGGTAAAAGTATACGTACAAATACATATATATTAAAATTTCGGGGTAAACGGAATTGAAACGGGGTTTGGGATGTGGGGAGAATCGCCGCTCAACGGTTTTAGGCAGGGACATCATTGTTACTCGTCGCCGATCTCCAATCGGCGTTTTCTAAGGCACCCTAAGGATCACCTCTGGACGGAAAACACATCGAGAACATATGGGTGGGGAGCAGCGCGCTGGAATCGTCAACACGTTTCAGACAGAGAGTTTGAAGAGGGATGCCGACAATCGTTCCGGCATTCTCAAGCCTGGGGACCCAAGATGGTGTCCATGCGATGGCGCGACAGAATATCGGAAACGGCCCTGGCAGAGGGAATATCTGGCTTGGAAGCATCTAATACGGAAACGCACCTGGCATCGGAAAGGGCTTGTCATCAATTTGGCAGTGACGAGTTTAATGGTAAAGCTAGTGTGGCTGGGCGATTGTCTATCAAAATTCAAAGTAAAATCTTTTGCTTTGATTTGAGTTCTTCCACCGTGTGTTTAAGTCAAATTAAAGATAATTATGTGCGATCTATTACTTTCGATGAGGGCGGATTTAATTGGTTATATACTTCTTTTTGTGAACTTCAAAATGGAGTATCTTGCATATTTACAAGGTTTGAGGATTCAGGTAAAATTCAACTCTCATTCGATATTAATCGATTTGGTCGATTTATTCGCATTGTGGATATGCGATCTTGGAATCGCACAACCATTATTGTCCCAGAAGGTTGGCATGGAGAAGGGTTTAATAGATTTAGTTCTGCTTTATTTGACCTTCGAAAGCAATTGACAAGGAAGTCGGGGAGTAACTTTGAGGAATTTGAGAATTTTGCTGCTCTTTTTGGTTCAGTTGATCCTTCTATAAATGAGACGGTATCTATTTCATCTCTTC